TTCACACGGTGAGGTGATGGTGCCCCCTAGTGGCAAATTGATCCTGCAGCAGGCTGAGTGCTGTGACCTTGAGCCCTGAGCAGTGGCCAGCTTCAAGGTGGGAAGGGAAGGGGAGGGAAGAGGCCTAGGCCAAGGGTGGGTGACCACTTTTTGCAGCTCAGGTACCTCCCGCTTTCACCTTCTACTTCAGAGCGGTTAATGATGCAGACTCTCCTTATACAAATAATAATCACATTTTCTTTTCTGATTAGATGCAGCAGATCTTAAACACAAAGTGTTTACGTCTGTACGTTACCTAGAGCCACACTGCCTGTCCTCATCACTGCTGTCAATCTCTTGGTCACACTGCAGTCAATTTCCCACCACTGGCGTCTGCAGATGGGCAGAACTCTGAAAGAAAAGTATGAACACAAAATTAGCAAGGAAAGACCACAGGCCCTCTTGAAAATGATCCTGTTTTTGTCCAGTCCTCGGGATTTAAACAGAAAGATAAATGTGGGCTAGTGGCTCGTTCTTGTCATCCTAGCAACTCAGAAGGCTCAGATTGGAAGTATTGCAGTTTGACGCCCATCTGGGCAGGGAAGTCCTTCCATCACCAACCAGCAAAAAGCTAGACTAGAGGTATGGACAAGTGGCAGAGTGCCAGGTGAGCAAAGCAGGCCAAGCAATCACAAGGCTTTGCCTCCAAACCCCACTGCCAGCAAAATAATTTATTATTATTATTATTTTGCTTGTGTGTAGCAAAACTACCATAAATCAGGGCTACAAAGGACTCATGCTATAAAGGACTCATGTACAGTTCTTAATCTCGAAAGAGAAAATGGACAATAGAGCAAACTGAAAGCAAAGCTCACTCCATAATAAATATGTGAATAATTTTCCAGGTCCATCCGTGTAACAAAACGTGTAGGAGAATTCCTTCTTGCCACCCTTTCCTTGGCGCAGATGCCACCTTTACTGCAGATCCTCCAAGGATAAGGATCTGATCAGCATCTCTGGAGATGCTAATCATTGGAAGAAACCTTGCTGATCCTCTGAGCTAACTCCTCAGTCCTTTGTGGATCTTAGCTGAGCCATATCAGAACCAGAGTGGATAGAGCTGCCCTTCCAAGAACACCAGTATGTCAGCCTTGCTGTCTTCTGGGTATCAAATGCTCATTATAGAAAAAGATAGCATATATTGATCATTTTTTTCCTCATGGCATTAAATATTTTTCATCATGAAATATTTTTTGAAGCCCTCGTTTTCATGGTGCCACATGAAAAGCCATTTCCTTATGCTTAGAGACATGCGCCTGGGTTTTTGCTATTTTAAAGTGAGTACAGCAAATATTTGATGCCTCACCCTCCCCTCGAGTTTTCTGGCTGGCATATTCTGCTAAAGGTTTTTCTGGTTTCAAGGAACAAATCAGTTCATTTATGAAAACACGTACAGTTGAGGATCTCATGTGGAATGCTGCCACTTTTTATGACTGCATGGTGCCTTTGTAGAGAAAAATTAAACAGTGACAACTATTTGTTTTGAATTCAAGATTAACAGAAAGGAGGGGGGGAAGGTGAGATAAGATGTCTGGGTTTAGCTCTCACCCTGGCCTTGTCTGTGGCCTTCAGCAAGGCCCTTTAACTGCTCTAGCCTTAGCTGTTAAAAAAATTCTCAAACAATTTAAGCACAGAGGGAAAGCATCGTAACATAGAATGCTATTTCCGTCGCGCATCAGCTTTGCTCATGTGTGGAAGGAGACAAGGCAGTCGGGGTAATAGCCCTAGCCTGCCACTGCAGCCATTGGCCTGCACTGGAATTTCGGTGTGGATGGGGAATCCAAGAGCAGCAGCAGTTCGGCTGCAGCGGCTTCAGGCCCCGGGGCATCTGTGCTTGTCTTCTTGTCTGTCACCAAAGGATTCTGGCATCAAAGCTCCACATCAGATGTCCTTCCTAACAAGTCAGACGTTCAGAGAGTGCAGTGGGAAGAGAATGGACCTAGTGTCGGTCCTTGAGCTTGAGGTCCACGCTGCCATCTCCTAGGTGAGTGCTAACGTGCACCCAAACGGGGCAACACCAGTTCATCTCACCTGAGATGCAAAATGCAAATGAGACTGTGGAAGTGAAACTACTTGTGAAACCCTAAAATTCAAATAACTTGAAGCTACCATTTTGGAGATGTTTACACGATCAATCCAAAAATAGAGGCTGCTTCTGGCTGTAATGCTGGCTTACTTATAAGTAGTTTTCAAGGCAGTAGAGTCTAGCATTTAAGTGTATTGGAGTCTTTTTATTGATACTGCATGTATTAATGCTCACACTTCAGGATGTATAAGTTTTGTGGTTTGATTTCATGGAATATAAGATCTATGGAAACAAATGCTAAGCCTATCACATACGGTAATTTCAAGGCACAGAGCAGCCATTGCCCTTCTGGGGCTCAATAGTACATGTTAAAATAATACATGTCAGCTGGGTGCTGGGGGCTCACACCTGTAATCCTAGCTACTCAGGAGCCTGAGATCTGAGGATCGAGGTTCAAAGCCAGCCCAGGCAGGAAACTCCATGAGACTCTCATCTCTAATAAACTACTCAGAAAACCAGAAGTGGCGCTGTGGCTCAAGCGGTAGAGCACTTGCCTTGAGCTGAAGAGCTGAGGGATAGCGTCTAGGCCCAGAGTTCAAGCCCCACAACTGACAAAAAATAATTAATGTAATTTAATTTCAAAAATAATAATACATGTCAGTCAGGTGCTCGTGGCTCACGTCTGTAATCCCTACTCAGAAGGCTAAGATTTAAGGATCACAGTTTAAAGCCGGCCTAGGAAAGAAAAGGCTGTGAGACTCCTATCTCTAATTAACCACCAAAAAGCTGAAAATGGGAGCTAGGAAGATGGCTCAGTGGTAGAGTGCTTGCCTTGCTGCATACATGAGGACCAGGGTTCTATTCCTCAGCACCACATAAGCGGAAAGAGCCGGAAGTAGCCCTGTGGCTCAAGTGGTAGAGCGCTAGCCTTGAGCTGAAGAGCTGAGGGACAGTGCCCAGGCCCAGAGTTCAGGCCCCACAACAGACAAGACCAAAAAAAAAAAAGCTGAAAATGGAGCTGTGGCTCAAGTGGTACTGTGCCCAGACCCTGAGTTCAAGCTCTAGTGCTTGTGCCCACCCTCTACAACTACTTGCCATGAGACTTACTTGAAAGTGGTCTCAGAATCATTTCTTATCAGTTAAAACTTTTGAAAAGCAGCTTCCTCCCATGGACCCAAGTATTTAAGTTTCATACTCTCTCTCCAAGCCAGAGTTCTGTAGCTGTATTTAAAAATTATCCTAAATATGAAAACAGGTGTATCAAAAGATGCTCAGGAGGGCTGGGATGTAGCTCAGTGGCAAAGCGCTTACCTACCAAGTGCAACGTCCTGGGTTCGATCCCCAGTACCAAAAAAGAAAAGATGAAAGAAAAAAAAAAAAGATGCTCAGGAGATTCAGAAGGTTCCCTTTTTTTTTTTTTTTTTTTTGGCTAATCCTGAGGTTTGAACTCTGGTCCTGGGCTCTGTCACTGATCTCCTTTTGCTCAAGACTAGTGCTCTAACACTCGAGCTATAGTGTCAGTTATGGCCTTTTCTGAGTAGTTCATTGAAGAGTCTCATAGGCTTTCCTGCACCAGCTGGCTTTGAATGATGATCCTCAGATCTCAGCCTCCGGAGTAGCTAGGATTGCAGGTGGATTATAGGCATGAGCCACCAGCACCCGGCAAAGTTTCCAAATTTGAAAACAGCTGAATTCTCTTCACAAATGACAGAAGGATTAAGTTACTGGACATCCCTTTGATGGATTATTCTGTAGCCGATTTTATAAAAATTCTACAATTTGGAACCATGCTTATAAGAATTCTTTCACAATCCACTGATAATCCTGCACCCTTTTATTTCTTGAATTAAAGAAAAAGGCAAGATACTAAATTATATCCTGAAATTTGTATGTGTAATAAAACATAAAACAACTATTGTTGAGTACTAACCTGTCAAGCAATTGTTTATTTATATATTTCATACATCCTTTACTTATAAAATTATTTGTTGTTTTCTAACAACCTGTAATGCAGTTTCTGTTATTATTATTATACCCATTTTATAGATAAGAAAACTGCAGCACAGAGCCATTATATAATTGGGGTCACAGAACCAACTGAAATTCAACCCTGGGCGGTCTACAGCCTAAACATGTATTGGGAAATAATTCACGAAAATATGGGCCTCTCGCGGGTAGAAGCAAACGCAAGGGCATTCCCTCTACTTTCTCTATTAGAAAAAAGAAAGGCGGCGCAGTGGTAAAATCACACCTTAAAGGGGGTCACGAATAACCTGTGTTTCTATACTAGATGCGGGCAGACTCGGCTCCTTTGCCATCGGCCGCACCCCACGGCGGCAGCCGGCGCCCCGCCGGCTTCCCCCCGCAGGCTTCCCCCGGGAACGCGCCGGGTGCAGGCCGGTCGCTGGGCGCGAGCGCAGCCCGGCCACGGCCGGGGCCGGGGGGCTCCATTTCGAGGTTCCGTTGGCTTGACGCTGGGCTCCCCGATCTCACATCCGACTCCGCCCTACCCAGAGTCAAGGATTCAGACACCAGAACCTCAGGCAGCCCCAAACCGCGCAGGTCAGCGGACAAAGGCGCGGAGAGGGCGGCCGCGGCCCGCGAAGCGCCCGCAAGCCTCGCTGCGTCTCTGGCTCGCTCGGGCGAGGCTCGTTCTTCCCTGTGGCAAGCTCGGCTTTGTCTGGCCTATGCATGGAGAAGCAGCCGCTGACATGTTAGGAGAAGCACTCCACCGTGCTAACGCTGTATGTGAAATAGAACAAGGGCAACTGCCTTTACCTAAGCACAGGTTAAGTCACACCGCCATTCAGGGGCCCAGAACGCACCTCCGAGTCTAAGGACTACAACTCCCAGCCTGCAGGAGGTTTCCGCGCGTGCGTCCTGAGGGACCACGCCTACATTTCCCAGAGAACCTGGCGTCACGCCGGAGCGCGCGTGCGCCGTCGCACCCCTTTCCGCTTCTCCCTCGCTTTGACCTACAAGCCGCCGCAGAGAAGGAAGATGGCCGCCCCGGGGGTGTCCCTGCTGTCCCGGCAGGTGAGAGGAGCCGGAGGAAGGAACCCTCCTCGGGTGACCCGTGCCAGATCCCCAGAGCCATAGTGTGAGGCCACGGCTGGAATTAGGCTGGCCTCTGCTCAAGGTCGTGGGGCCCAGCGCGTTGGGGGGACCCCCGGGGGTGATCCGGCTTCACCCCCTGCGGGGCCGAGAGCGGGGTGAGGGGGGCATGACCTTGGCGTCCTCCAGGCCGTGACCTTGGGGCCGTGACCCTGGCGTGTTTCGGGGCTCCGTCCTGGGAGGCCCCGGAGAGGGAGGCTGGGCCTCCTGGACTCCGGGGTGAAGCACAGACCCGGCTCGGCTTCCTTAGCCTGGGCGGTAGAAGCCGTCAGAGGTCAGTGACCAGCAGAGCTTGCTGCTCTAAAGCACCTTGCCCGAGTTCAGCCCTGAAGTGGTGGGGTTGAGACTGGAACCCATGGAATCAAACACAAGACGGAGTGTACAGCGTCCAGCCACCTCCTTGGAATGACCACTTGTAGCTTACGTAATTTCTTCCCAAAGTGTTCAAGAATTTGCAGTCCTCATAATAAATTCCCGAGTTGCAAGTAGATGACGATGGCCAAAGGATTTCAAAGACAGGATCTCTTAACTAGGATTAGGGCCATTTTAAATACTTAAAAAAAAATCTGGAGGGAGGACTATTTTTAAATTCGAGAAATAGCATTTTTATTCCTAAGTAAGTACATCTGTTGCAAATCATGACCAGCATCTCCCACTTTAAAAATCCTGCTCAAGGGGCTGGGAAGGAGCGCTTGCCTTGCATGCATGAGGCCCTGATTCAATTCCTTAGCACCACATAAGCAGAAAAACCTGGAAATGGCACTATGGTTCAAGTGGTAGAATGCTAGCCTTGAGCTGAAGAGCTGAGGGACAGTGCACAGGCCCAGAGTTCAGATCCCACAACCAGCAAAAAAAAAAAAAAATCCTGCTCAAGAATGTGGCCATATGGGGCTGGGAAGGTGGCTCAGTGGTAGAGCGCTTGCCTTGCATGCATGAGGCCCTCGGTTCGATTCCTCAGCACCACATAAGCAAAAAGAAAAAAAGCCGGAAGTGGTGTTGTGGCTCAAGTGGTAGAGCGTTAGCCTTGAGCTGAAGAGCTGAGGGACAGCGCCCCAGCCCAGAGTTCAAGCCCCATGACCGGACCCCCCCCCAAAAAAAAAGAATGTGGCCATATGAATGACAAAATTGTGTGCGTGTGTGTGTGTGTTTAAAATGTACTACCTGGAAGTTGGTGTTTCCTATACGTATGTGCTAACTTCATCCTCTCCCCACAAATTAGCAAGTTGGTGGGAATTTCCAAGCAATTTGGGATGATTTTTAGTAGTGAAATTCACTTGTAGAAGAAAAAGCAGTTCATACTTGTATAATCTGTCTGATTCTATAAAAATATATGAAACTAGCTGGGCACTGTTGGCTCACACCTGTAATCCTAGCTACTCAGGAGGCTGAGATCTGAGAATTGTGGTTTGAAGCCAGCCCTGGGAGGAAAGTCCATGAAACTCTTATCTCCAATAAACTACTTCAAAAAAGCCGGAAATGGCATGGCTTCAGTGGTAGAGCACTATCCTTGAGCACAGTGATGCTCAGGGACAGCACCCAGATCCAGAGTTCAAGCTCTAGGACCACCAAAAGAAAAATTGTGTGTGCGTGTGTGTAACATCCTTTAGGATTTTTCTTTTTCTGTATTACTGAGATAGAAACTCTTCAGGTAATTTTGTTTGATTGTTTCTCTTTGTTTTAAAGGTGAGAAGCTTCAGTACTTCAGTGGCCAGGCCCTTCAGCAAGATTGTGAGGGTATGTTCATTTATATTCTTCTGTCATTGCAAAGTAAATGAAAGTGTGAAGCAGCAATGGTTGTCTTAAATTTCAAGTAATTAGAGGTCTTAAAATTAAAGCCAGGCACCAGTGGCTCATGACAATAATTCTAGCTACTCAGGAGACTGAGATCTGATGATCAAGGTTTGAAGCCAGCCTAGACAGAAAAGTATGTGAGATTCTTCACTAATCTACCCAAAACTCCGGAAGTAGAGCTGTGGCTCAAGTGCTAGAGCTCTAACCTTGAGTAAAAGAAGCTCAGAAACAGAATCCAGGCCCCAAGTTCAAGCCCCAAGATCAGCACACACAAAGTAATTCGATTACAAGTAGCTAGAGCTAGAAGGAACTTTGGATACTGTCTTTTCAGCCCCTCGATTTATAAGTGAAGGGACTCAAAGTTACAAGGACTAAGCCAAGGAAATGAACTTCTCCTCTATTTGAGAATTGCCCTTTAGGACTGCTCTTTATGAACTCCTGTGTTTTTGTTAGTTTGCTTTTGTTTTCTTGAGGTGCTGGGCCTTTTGCTGAGCTGCTTCTCAGCCCTAATTCCATTGTTGAGAGTATACTGTGGTCTTACCTTTTTCTTCTTCCTTGGTCCATCCTTTCTGTTGAAAGCCCCCTGTGCAGGTACATGGCATTGAAGGGCGCTATGCCACAGCTCTTTATTCTGCTGCATCTAAACAGAAGAAGCTGGAACAAGTGGAGAAGGAGTTACTGAGAATGTCAGTAAGTATTTGGCTTCTTTGTCATATGTTAAGTTCCTGTTGTACATGTTTGACTTTAAGTTATGTGACTGTGTCCCTGATGAAGTACAGCCTATCAAAAGATCTGCCTGGAGGGAGGGAGGGCAGTGGAGGGGGTGAGTCTGAACAGGGTACATTGTAAGCAAATATGGATATGTCAAAATGAAACCCTCTTGTACAACTAACAGATACTAAAAAAAAAAATGACAGAAACAACAAGAACAAATACCTGTAGCAGGGTGCTGGTGGCTCACGCCTGCAATCCTAGCTATTCAGGAGGCTGAGATCTGAGGATCATTGTTCAAAGCCAGCCAGCCCAGGCAGGAAATCCGTGAGACTCTTACCTCCAATTAACCACCAGAAAACCAGAAGTGGTATTGTGGCTTAAGTGGAAGAGCACTAGCTTTATGCTGAAGAGCTGAGGGACAGCGCCCAGGCTCAGAGTTCAAGCCCTACAACTGACAGGGGGGAAAAAAAGCTGTTTCTGGTAAACATGTTAGTAATCATATTAGATTTTGTTCTTCAGAAACTATTGTGTAATAGGAACAAACAGACACATAAAAGGATATTAGTAGTAGGAACCAAGATTTCTAGTGGCCCATGTCTATAATCCTAGCTACTCAGGAGGCTGAGATCGGAAGATCACAGTTCAAAGCCAGGAGGGGCAGGAAAGTTTCTTGAGACTCTTCAGTTAATCACAAAAACCTGGAAGTGGAGCTGTGGTTCAAGTGGTAGAGCACTAACCTTGAACACAAAAGTTTAGGGACAGCATTCAGGCCCAGGACAGTTTAAGCTCTAGGACAGTCAAAAACAAAACTAAAAAACATAGAAGTATAAAACCAAATATAAGAAATGGTTTAAGAAAACTTGACAATTAAAAGGCTACCCATAAAAGACAAGTATTTAGCCAGGCGCTGGTGGCTCACACCTGTAATCCTAGCTACTCAGAAAGGCTGAGATCCGAGGATCTCCCTTCAAAGCCAGCCCAGGCAGGAAAAATCGTGAAACTCTTATCTCCAATAAACCACCAGAAAACCGGAAGTGGCGCTGTGGCTCAAGTGGTAGAGCACTAGCCTTGAGCTGAAGAACTGAGGGACAGCGCCCAGGCCTGGAGTTCAAGCCCCACGACAGACCAAAAAAAAAAACAAAAGTATTTTCAGAATGCTTTACTGAGAATTATGTGCATGCATGTTTATATAGGCAGCATGCTGTTGAGTTTTTGGCTGCCCAATTTTATTTTTGGTTGCTTGTGTTTTTTGGTGGTGCTTGAGTTTAAACCTGTGGCTCCACGCTCACTCTGTCTTCACCATCTTCTTGCTCAGCTGGTGCTCTACCACCTGAGCCACACTCTCCATCCCTGCTTTCTGCTGCTCATTTTGGAGATACACTCTTACAGGCTTTTTTAAGGAGACTGACTTCAGACCACAGTTCTCTAGATCTTAGCCTCCTGAGTAGTTAAGAATTATGAATTTGAGCCACCAGCTAATTAGTTATAACTTTTCTTGAAAGATAAAATACATGTAAGAAACTTCGTAAAGCATTCTCAAGTTTTTTAAAGGAATGTCATAGTGTATAGAACATGGTGTCGTTGATAGTCCTACAGTCGGAAATGTATCTGACTATAAATTTTTCTTCGTATGTGCTTGAGAGGACTGGTTGTCCTAATTTATCAGAAAGTATGTATAGTAGGTGGCATCATGTGTGCTTTAAAGAACTTAGGAGATTACTTCTCTGGTGCTTTCAGCAACTTATGAAAGACCCCAAAGTGTCGGCTGCTATTCTGAATCCATATGTTAAGCGTTCCATTAAAGCAAAAAGCCTGAATGACATCACAGCAAAAGAGAAGTTTTCCTCTCTCACAGCCAACCTGATGAGTAAGTATTAGAACTTCATTTGAGTTTCTTTAAAACTTTGCTGCCAGAAATTTACTTCTTAGGCCATAAGGGCTGTTGGCAGTGAAGAATCTGCTAAGTCTAAATCTCTTAACTGGCTTTCAAAGCACCTAGTTGACACATTCACCTTTGAAGAGCCAAAGAGTTACTGGAAACTGTAACATAAATATGAAAATCAGATTGCAGGCTAAATGTAAGGAATCTGTTTCAGACCTGAGCGTGTAGTGCAGATGGCAAGAGTTCTGGCCTAGCAAGCACAAGGCTCTGAGTTCAAACCACACCACAAAATGAAAGATCTGTTGAGTATATACACAAATACGCAGAATAACGTACGTGCTTATTTGGGCTTTTTTGATTTTCTCTTTTTTTTTTCAAAAGTAACAGCTTCTCCATTTACTGCATCTTGAAAGAGATTGATCAGGAGGCTGAGATATGAAGATCCTGATTTGAGGCCCATCCAACCAGGCAGACAGATCTGATTTGCTGGTTAATCTTTAATTCACCAGCAAAAAAAGTCAGAACTGGAGGCATGGCTAAAGTGGTAGAGCTGTAGCTGTGAGCCAAAAAAAAAAAAAAGCTGACCCAAAGCATGAAACCCAGTACCAGCATAAAAATAAAGATATGGAATATAGTGTTTTAGGGCTCCAAGCAAAGTGTGCTTTTGAGGTGGTAAGTGAATTTCGCGTCATTGAAACCCTCTCACTTTCCCAGATTTGCTTGCTGAAAACGGTCGCCTCAGCAACACGCAGGGTGTCATTTCTGCCTTCTCTACCATGATGAGTGTGCACCGGGGAGAGGTGCCATGCCTGGTGACCACCGCCACTGTGAGTAGCTGCGCTTGCCTCTGCTTTCCGGAAGGGACTCCTCATCCAAGTGCTCCTGCGTGCTCTTCCCAGCTCTGTGAATGTTCACTTTGAAAAGGCACTGTGTGTCTTCATGTTTCTACATGGCAGTGTTTCCTTTTTTAAGTTACTTGCTCAAAGTCACACAGCTGGCCCCAGGATTTGAATGCAGGACTATCTCAGAGGTACACGGTCCTTAAATTATACTACATTACCTTACCAGCAGGAGTTTATTGCCTGTGTGCTTTTCCTTCCTGAGTTAAGTTCAGTCTGCACAGTCACCGGGTCTGTGGGCTTGGACATGAGTAGACTGGTGGACTTGGAGTTTGCAGCCCTGGACCTCATCAAGCTAACCGTCGAGCTAACAGTTGTAGTAGGTCAGGGCATTGCTTTGGACAGCTTCCCACGGGCTCTGTGCCCCCGAGTCAGCAGCATGGACCCAAGCAAGCAGCTCAGGGCAGCCACGGCACAGTCCCCGGGGTTACAGGAACCTACAGGCTGTCTTCATGGAGCATGTCCACTGTGGGCTTTGCTCTCCTTATAACTCTGGAGGTTTATTTTTTGGTTCGTTTAAAGAATGGTTTGTTCTTTTTCAGCCGTTAGACAGCACTGTTCTCGCTGAACTAACAGACGTCCTGAAGAGCTTCCTAAGTCAAGGCCAAATGCTGAAACTGGAGGTTAAGGTATGTTTCTAATCGTTTACATTGTGTACCTTGGGTTAGCAGACATTAACAATAATACAGATAGGAAATGCGCAAAACATTAGATCTGTTCGTGTATTTACTTATTTGTGCTAACCCTGGGGCTTGAACTTGGCCTGGGCACTGTCCCTGAGCATTTTTGCTTAATGCTAGTGCTCTGCCACTTGAACCCAAGCTCCACTTTTAGCCTTTCTGTTAGTTGGAGGTAAGAGTCTCTCATGGACTTTCTTAGCCTGGCTGGCTTTGAACTATGATCCTTAGATCTCCGCCTCCTGAATAGTGAAGATTACAGGAGTGAGCCACTGGCATTCGGTCAGATCTGTATATTTTAATTTTAAATAATCATCAAATTCTGTGGATGGTTTCACATTTAGCTCTTTCTAGATGTGTATATATATATATATATTTATATTTATATTTATTTATTTTTTGGTCAGTCTTGGGGCTTGAACTCAGGACCTGGGTACTGTCCCTGGACCCCTTTATGTTCAAGGATAGCACTCTACCACTTCAGCCACAGCACCACTTCCAGCTTTTTGGATAGTTTGTTAGAGATAAAGAGTCTCACAGGGACTTTTTCTGCCCAGGCTGGCTTTGAACTGTGATCCTCAGATCTCAGCCTCCTGAGTAGCTAGGATTACAGGCGTGAGCCACCAGCGCCCTGCGAGATGTAACCTTTTCTGCTGGTGTAGCACCTCCAGCCATTCCAGACACTGTCCTGCCGCTGCAATGCTGGAAATGATATCCGTGTTTCATGCTTCCTCCTCTTTTCTTTCCTAGACTGATCCTGCAATCATGGGTGGCATGATCGTCCGCATCGGGGAGAAGTATGTTGATATGTCTGCCAGAACCAAGATTCAGAAGCTGAGCAGGGCTATGCGGGCATTGAACTGAAAATTCCCATCAGTAAAAATCCTTAATCTTGAAGCAACAATAAATTGCTTCCTAATGGACCATATTGTGTTCACTTGTCTTCTAACACGGAATTCAAAGATGCTCATTTGCATCTTTTTCCTAGAGTCCTCCTACATGTAAGGTTAAGAAGCTCTTTGGGCTGGAGAATTAGGTTTGAATAGATCATCCTGAGGCATGTGTTCATTCATCAATTAAACATAGTATCAACACAGACTCATTCAAAAAGTCTCAGGTACTGCCAACCAAAATCTCATCTGTAAGGGCTGGTGGACAACTTCCGGTCTACAATCAGTTGTCACGTGGCCTGTGCTCCATCATGGAACATTTCCTTACAGAAATGCTTCATTCTTCCATAGCACCTCAATTGAGCCATGCCGTGTGCATCTTAAGCTTCTTGATAACCCCATGATAGAAGAAGACTTTACAAAGGAGAAGAGAAGTTCAGGAGTCCTGGAGGTATGCTCGGGGTGACCAGCCAGGACAGGAGGACCAGGAACCAGTAGTCCGAACTGCACTCAGGCAAGCCTCTGTGACCCCATTTCATTCCTCAGATGATCTCCGTCTGCTTGTTAGCCAGGAACGACTCCCAGCTTAGCTCTTCCCACGTTTTTCTCCTGAGCAACTAGAGAAAATGAGTTTTCCACATGGCCATTCTTTGGCCACCTTCCAAGTGGGTTTGGCTAACAGCCCTTTCCTAGAGGGGCTCCTGCTTGGGTGGGGACAGGACAGTTGCAGCTGGGAGGACTTCCCAGGCAGAAGCCAGCCCGGGGCCACACCCTGTGCAGACGCAAGGCCAGTGTGCCTTCTACCTCGCTGTCATGTCCAGCTTTACCAGGAGCATCCTGAAACCAGCCACAGAAGGGCCTAACCAGAGTATTAACAGCACTTGAGCTTTCTCGGGAACCAAAAGTGCCCCAACAGCCACTTATCTGCTAGCCAGTCCTCTAACTTGGAGGTGGGCCTGGGACCACCAAGTTAAGAGTCTACAGAGAAGTTGATAGCCATGATACCTCGATTGTATGGTGCTTCATAGCTTTCAGAGCTGTTGGTGAGCATTTTTCTTCAGCTCAACGTGGTGATGGTGGAGACTTCATAAAGGTGCCTTCACCATGCATGTGCATGAGTCCCATCCAGCTACGTTATCCTAGCTAGGCTAACAGGCCAGGGCTACTTTGTGCAGGCTGGCATCAAACCTCGATCCTCCCAAACTCAGCTTCCCAAGTAGCTAGGATTACTGGTGTGAGACTAAAGTTTTACACAATCCCAAATGTGCTTGATCTTGATCTCATCTGATCTCAGAAGCTGAACACACTTGAGTGGTAAGTGGTTACAAATGAACTAACTGAAGTAAAATAGACTCTGGGAAGCTCCAATAGTACAATTCTTCAGAGAAACAAGGCAAAACCCAACAAAATCAGTACCAGGAAATGGGTACTTGCAAAAGGGGAAAGTAAGACCAAGAGGAAAGGGGTAGAAGAATGAAGCGGGGAAAGCAGAACAATACAGTCAAGAATTAATTGTATGTACCATAGAATTGGGAGATAGAAGGGGAGGGGTGGGTGGAAATGGGGTGAAGATGTTAAAGTGATGGCAGGTCAAGATGCATCATATATATAAACTGCTTTGGTGAATGGCAGCTTCTTTGGACAGCTACTTAAAGACAACAAAAATAAAGTCCTTAATATCAAGCTGTAAACTAGGCGCTGGTGGCTCATGCCTGTAATCCCAGCTATTCAAGAGGCTGAGGTCCAGAGGATAGCGATTTGAAGCCATTCGAGGCAGAATAGTCTGTGAGACTCCATCTCCAATTGATGGAGCAAGCACTAAGACAAGCAAACAAGCAAGCACAAGATCCTGAACTCAAACCTCAGTATTACCAAAAAGTAAATTTTTAAAAAATCAAGTCAGGGAAGCATATATCTGCTTTAAAGGATGACAAACTAAACGTGACAAGATTTACATAAATTTGGTAGCTGAAAAGTATCTCATAACTACTAAATAGTACAAGAGAATTTAAAGTGCTCACACCATATATACACAGAAGAACAACAAACATGAAATGCATCGAAAGGGTTACTTACGGGACACTGAGGCAGAAGAATAGGAGTTCAAGGCCAACCTGGGCATCAAAGCAAGAACAATTCTTTAAAAAGAAAACTTGTTTTTATGTGGAAGAATATTTCCATTAAGTGATTTTTATCATTTTGGTATTTTTTTCTGGGTATGCTAAGTTTTCTGCGTTAAGAAGGATTATTTGTTAGTAAAGGAATAGTTGAATGAAATATTTTCTGTTGATTGTTTCCACTGGTTTCTGAGTTTGGTCAACAGGAATCTTTTCTATATGTTTTACACGACGTTGTCAGTGTGATTTCTTCTCCCTTTCTAGCTGTGAAAGAGTGACTTCAGAGTTGGTATAGTTTGGGTATATAACCTATTATTACTCGAGATGGGGTCTGGCTATAATCTCTTGTATTGTCTCTTCACTTCTAGGTTTTAAGAAATCCTTTCTCAGCCTCTCAAGATGCAGGAACTCTGGGGCTGGAACGGTGGCGCAGTGGCGGAGCGCTGGCCTTGCATGCATATGAAGCCTAGGTTCGATTCCTCAGCACCACATAAACAGAAAAACGCAGAAGCAATGCTGTGGCTGAAGTGGTAGAGTGCTAGCCTTGAGCAAAAGAAGCTCAGTCGGGCCATGAGTTCAAGCCCCATGATTGTCACAAAAAAAAAAAAAAACAGATGCAGGAACTACAGCTATGTACCATCCTGCCAGGCTTAATTTATTTCTAAGTAGGAAAAGGGCATAAGAATTTTATGTTTATCAAAAATGGGAACGTACTAGTTTTCAAAAGACAAGCTGGAAGCTCCTGTCTATAATATCTTAGCTACTTGAGAGGCTGAGATCAAGAAGACCATACATAGTTCAAGGCCAGCCTAGGCAGGAAAGTTCAGGAGACCCCTCCTCTCAAGCAATAAGCTGGGTGTCCAGGGACACACCTGCCATTCCAGCTACAAAAGGAAACCTAAAATAAGTGGACAATGAGCTAAACACATATTCTCAAGCAGAAAATAAGACCCTATCTAAAATATAACCTGCATGAAAAAGGCTGCAAGTGTGGCTCTAGCCATCATGGCACTCCAGCAGAGTACCTGCCTAATAACACCAAGGCCCTCAGTTCAAGTCCCAGTACTGCCAACAACATTAAAAAGACAAACGTGTGACTTTGGGGATTTTTTTTTCAGGTTTCTTTCTTTTTAACGGGCTATAAAAATTCGGCCAGTGTCTAAGCCAAATTTATTTCATCAGTTAAATCAGTGATAAAATTGGGGAGAACTCCCTTAAAACTAGAACAGAAAAAAACACTATAAATAATACAGTTACATTCGAGGTTGAGGTTGCTAATGGCAAAGGTAAAGGAGAAGTTTTGAACTTGTGGTTTGTTAGAAGGTGAGGAAGCCAGGCATCCTTCTGAATGACTTGAGAGACAATCACAGCTTCTGGCTCGCCCTCGCCACTCAGCATTTTTTATGCCATTCAACATGGAGCTCATATTCTTGGAAATATTTGGTACCAGGCAGTCTACTATTTGGGGTTAGCCATTTATTTATCAGAAGGAAGTGGAGAAGAAATGAAAGGGTTGTTGGCTGGTTCTCCTTTTAGTTTTATGTTTGCATAATTTTCCTTGCTCAGGAAGCACACACAGGAAGAGACGCCATTTTCAGGTCTATTCACTTCCTCTATGGCAGAGGAGGTGGGACAGAAAGGACCCAAAACAATCCACTGTAGCAGGGTTGGCTTTTCTCATTTTATTCATGAACTATGTGAATTTAAACCATACAGGTCAAAAGGACCAAAGAGTTGACCCTATTTAAGGTCAAGATGCACAGGAATATCCATTTGAATTGATGTTGCTACTGATTTAACCAAAAAATAAAAGGAAGAAACTCAGTTACCAAAGTCTGAACTGGTAAAACTTAACATTTCACATAGCATAAAGTGCTAAAAGAACACAAACAGGAAAACAACCTCAGCTTCTTTCAAACAAACAAACAAGAAACCGAATGTTTTGGCCCTGCTTCATCAAGTCTTAGACAAATACATAATTCTACAATTTATAATAGTATCTAATAATCTTTAGAACTCCGTTAACATTACATAGCAGATGATATAATCTCCCTTTTATGGAAAATTAAATAGTACCGTTATTTGGCAACAGAAGTATATTACAATCAACAGGACATCCATCAGTGGGGCAGCCTACCCTTACCCCAGGCAGGGCTACAAGCAGAGCAACATACCTCCAGCGCTACCAGCATGGGCCCCCTAGTCACTAGAGATACAAGGTACTCAGTGTTACAGCTGATTACATTCTTTTGCACACAAAGGCTAACCAGGAGGGTCTGCCAGCACTACTGGGTAGGTTCCCATGTTCTGGCTTTTCTTGTCCTCCATAGATCTTGGAACAACCAGAGCTCTGAGACATCAACTGGTTGGCCATTCCCATTCACCGCTCACTTGCCACCCCACCACCCAAGAGGGGGACGAATCAGGGCTTAGTTTGGTGGGTAGATAGGAGTTTGCCTAGTCCTATTCTCTGGCTGACACGGTTGTCCCGGGCTATCTCCAAATGGCTCCATCTTTGGAAAGAAAGAAAGTTGTAGACCACATGGACAGTCCTTCGGGATGATTTGCAGGAAGCTTCCAGAACTCAAACCTTTCTAGACCCTTGAAGTCCAGGAAGTCACTGAGCCTCAGCTTCACCAAACAAGGGCCCTGGACTCCTGGTTGGCAGCATTTGGGGGCACATAGCTTTTTGAAAGAAATACCACGAATGACACTCATTCCATCTGTCCATCAAGCCCCGGTCCTAACCTTTCCACACCAGTGCTCACACCCCGGGCCTCGGAATCACCAGAAGCCAGGACTGCTTACCACAGAGGCGCTTCGGCCGGCCGCCCTGAGGTCACTCTGCATGCTCTCCTGGGACTTAGACACATTTCGTTGAACTCTCCTAGGCTTCAGATACTTTTCTAGGA